TTAAATTATATATATATATATATATATATTTTTTTTTTTTTAACTTAGAGGTGATTGCAATATTACTAAATTACTTCTATAAAGTTTTATATTTAAGACTTATTTATTTTAGATGATCACTAACAATTAATATTTTTACTTTGTATAAATGTAAATTAACGTTTAAACTTTATAAATTTAACTTAAATAATAGTCTAATTCCTTTAAAATAAGGTTATTTTAATTTTAATTATTTTTGTTAAATCCTCTTAATTTGTTACCTTTATTTTAGTCCTTCTAAAATTTAGTTGTTATCATTTTAGTAATTTTATATTTTGGTCTCTGTAATATTCTCATTTTTCTATTTTGGTCCCTATAATTATTTAACATTTTTCAATAGATTTAATAGTCAAGGATGAAAACAAAACAATTTTTTTACAAGGACAAAATTAAAAAAAAAAAATATAGGACTAAAATCAAAAGAAAAACTTATTTTATGAGAAATAAAAAAGTTGTTTAAGCCTAAATAAAATATTTCTCCCACTAAAACAATTAAAATTTTGTTACTTTATGCTAACTATATATCTTGTGACATGGTACTTACTTTTTAATGTGGTAATTAATTACTTTTTATTTATTTTAAATGTTTCTAATTAGATTCTTGATTATTATTTTTTACAGCACCAAACCTTAATTTTTTAACATGTTAAGATTCTTTTCATGTTTCGGTTTAAATTATATTTCAATTTTTAAACTCTTATATTTTTTAATATCTATTATAAAAACTAAAAACTTGTCATAAATAAATATTTTAAAATTATATACATGATTTATAATAATTATCTATTTGGATAAACAACTTAATTAAGATCTTATTTATATAATAAGAACTTATTATAGTATTGTGTGTTTTAATGCTTGTAGATACCTAATTTCGTCTAGGGCATATAAACAAGAAAATGGACTTTCAACATAAGAAAAAGGGGTTCTCAAAGGTTTGAAAACATCAGAGCAAACTAGCATTACATCTAGAGGCTCAAAAATGCAAAAGGATAGAATTAAGAGCTCGAAATGGGTCGTTCCCAAACTGGAACGGACCATTTCAAGCTCTAAAAAGTGTAACACCCGAGTTTTCATACTTTTTATTAAGGGTGATTTAGTAATTTTCATAAAATTTATTAAGGGTGATTTAGTAACCCAGAACGGCCGTTCCCAAACTAAAACGGGTCGTTACAAACTACTAAAAAAGACCTATTTTTGGTAGCCTAGAACGGGTCATTCCCAATATGGAATGGGCCGTTCCAAACCACCAAAATAGCCTATAACCCTAGTTGGGAACGGGCCGTTCCAAAGTTGGGAACGAGCCGTTCCAAATATGGACGTTGTGAGTTAAAACTCATCTCCAGAACGTGTCATTCTGGTTTGAGAACAGGTCGTTCCAGATGTGAATTTTCCACATGATGAAAGGATCCAGAACCCTATGAGAAACAGGCAAAATGTGAATGTTTTCTGTTTTGCTTTCTGATTCTTCTGTTGTGTTCCTTGTTGAATGAGATGTATGAATATGTGATTAATTTTGAAAATAGACAAGTTTTGATATGAATTAGAGTGCTCTGTGGGTTCTTGTGGGAAATCCTATGAAGTAAAATTAGGAATATGATCTTTGGATGATTTTGAGGCAATATATGTAAAATTGATGATGGCTTCATGTTTTGGATAATTACTTGGTATGATTTATGTATATGACTACGAGAAGTTTCTTGCATGAGACTATGTGAACAT